CACAGCCAGCTCTCACTCTTGGGAGAACACTGTCACTTAGATTATGGCTGTTCCTTCAAAGCAATGCCCTCAAATAGTATTCCAGGGGCTGCTGTGACTTTTCAGGCTGCAGGGCTCCACTCACACCTTCCCCAGGCCTTGGGGAGGCAGCTGAGAGCAGCTCCACACTCCACACGCTGCAGGAGCTGTGGAGCAATCACTACTGAACACTGAACAGGCACACAAATACAACCCAGGCAGAAGAAGCAGGAATTTTAGCCCAGACACTGTTACAACTTCATCATTCACCCAGAATGTGTGGAAGCACACCTGGCAAAGCAAATACCACTGCTGGCTTAACCCTGGGGTGTGTTTGGGATGGCAATGTGAGGATTGTAATTATGTCCTAAACTTGCCACAGGGGCACTTCCCTCTGCTGCTCCTCTTGCTCCTGTCAGTGAGAAGCTGCAGCCTGTCCAGCAGCCTGCCTGGAATGTGCCCTTCCACGTTTTCCATGGATGAGCAGAAGGCAAATCCATCAGTGTTTATCTGCACAGCCCCACTGGTGCCCTGTGCTGTGCAGCACCTGCTGCTGGATCCACTACAACACAACACAAACTCACAGCGTAAATTCCTCGGTGTTTGCAACAGCCCCAGACACCCCAGACACCCCTGGGTCTGCCTTTATTTATTTTTAGGAAGGATGTGGGCAAAGCCTGCAGCTGTGGCCAGTTGTCCTTCTGCTGGGTAAGCCCAGGAATGTCTGTGGTTCCCTCTCTGCCCCAGCTGCTCCGGGATGTTCCCCCAGACACACACATGGGGTCAGTGTCCTGGTACGCTGTCATGCACCCTAAAAACACACCACAAGCCCCACCTTGGCAATACCTGCATGCTTTGAGCCACAAGAACTCCCCTGAGAGCTTAAAGGACTATTCTTTATTCCTCTCCCCAGCACACACAGGCAGCCTGTTGATAGTCCTGCAAGCCCAACTCTCGAAGTTCTTGCATGAAAACAAAACAAAGAATGAAAACCAAAAAAAAATGTCTCTCTTTTCCTTCCTGGCTCTCTCTTGCTGCAGCATGTCCACTGTGAGCCCCAAGCCCCTCGTTTGGGGGTGGGGGATGATGGCTGGGCCAGGCAGGGCAGCTGTGATGCTGTCTGATAAACAAGTGAAGCGAAGTGAACATCACCATTGGCTGTGCTCAGCCGGGGAGGGGAAGCCTGGCTAGCAACAGCTTTGGGAAGCATTAACAAAGGGGGATTTAGGATTGGAGAGAACAAATGGAAGGGGGCTGTGAAATGGCAACCCTGCATCTTCTCTACACGCTGTGCTCCTCCCTCCCCTGAGTTGCCATGGATTCTCACACTGCTTCCCAGCCCTCTGTGAGTCCCCTGGTGCTGTCTCTGGGGTGTCTCCTGCCTGCCATCCCCTCCCAGCCTGCCCACACAGCCCAGAGCTGTCCTCAGCCCTGCCACAGGATGCCTCCCAGGCCTGTCTCACCCTCTCATGTCCACCTGTGAGCAACACAGAGCCCTCCCCTTCCTTCAGGAAGGAAATCCTGCCTCCAGCCAGGTGTTTTCCTGAACAAATCATCACATAGACCATAAAACAAAGAGCAGCCAGGGTCAGGCAGCACCATGAACATGCAGGGCACAACAATGAAAACAAACCAAAACAACAAGATGGGTCCTTTGTACCAGCCCCACTCTCCCCCCATACACCAGCAGCCTCCTCCCACAGGGAAACCCCACAGTGATGATCCCACAGGGATACCCTGAGATGCTGCTGGACCATTCATTTACTGCACTTTGGCCAATTCATCACTGTAATCTCTGCTAGAGCCACTGATCTGATTTATCCAGGAATGGCATCTGCTGCTTGGAATCAGTCTGGATTCATCTCCATTTGCCCAGCGACAGCATGGGTGTGGTTTTTTTTAAGAAAAACAAACCACAAACATCATTAAATTAATCATCCTATCCTCCTATTTCTCCTAAACAAGATTAATTCTGTTTTGCTCAGGTCTGCCTCGCTACCACATTTTCAGAGCATATTGTCTGAGCTCCTCTCTCCTGAGCATGTGCACCAGAGCTCTCCTGTGCTTCAGAACAAAGAGCAGATTCCCTTTGTTGTCCTGGAGCAGCAGTGATGTAGCAGATCAAGAGCTGGTCCCTGCCTCACTGAGCTTCCCTGCTCTGCCTGGTTCCAGGTGCCCAGAGACATGTGGGATTTGTTGTGATGGGCAGGGCTATGTGGAGAAAAGACAGGATTGTTTCTTCCCCAGCTCCCATGGAGACAGCAAGGCAGAAATCCCAACACGGGTTTGAGCTTGTTTCTGGCTTAGGGTCAGTGCCAGGCTCCCCCCGTGATCCATCCAAACCCGTGGCCTAAGCTGCTGTGTCTTTATTGTTAATTAATTTGGGTCAAATAGAGTTAAGAGCACATCCCTTTTTTTGATTTTCAGCTGAAAGGCAGGCTGTGCTCCCCTAGCACCAAGCAGAGCCCTGCACTTCAGAGAGCTCGTGGTGCTACAGAGCTTCACCTGTCAGCAGGAGACACATTTTACAGGGTTTAACAGCAGAGAAACAGCAAGCCGGGCTCAGGCAGCTGCACTTGCCCCCTCTTTAATGCCTGTACTACCCAGCAGTGCCTGGGGAATTCACACACCAGGCATCAAAACTCTGGGAAGAGCACGGGAACAGCACAATGGGGAGTGGGCTGCTTTCCAGGATCTGCCTGTTTGATTGCCAGGGAGATGTCAGGGCTGGGCACTGAACATATGAGAGCACTTTCTATTTCCATCCTTTAATAGTGTTACACAGGTTTGGATTAAAAACATCCCCCTTCATTTAACTTAAAACAGGATGAAAGAAACAGGGGGGGGTTAAATCAGCAAGAGGAGTTTTGTTGCAAATGTGGACACAGGCAAGTGGGGAAAACCAGCAGGAATTAAAATCCACTGAGTTTTTCCAGTTATTTCAGCAGCAGCCTGTGCTTCAGCAAAATCTCTTTCCAAAGCCAGGGTTCAGCCCGTGCTGTGGGACCCCCTGCCACAACATGGGGCTCAGAGCAATCTGGTCCAGAGGAAAGTGTCCCTACCCACGGCAGGGGGTGGAAAAATATGAGCTTGAAGGTCCCTTCCAACCCAAACCATTGTGTGATTGAAGAGCAGCTGTTCCAGGGGCTGTCCTGGGCACCCAGGTCACAGATCCTCAGCAGTGACACCGTGCCTCATGCACCAGAACCAACATTTCCCACTCGTTCAGCTCCCCACACACACTCTGAGCTGCCTTTCCTCTTGCCCTCTCTCTTCCCACACCACAGTTGCTGCTCTCTCTTAGGCACTGGGAAGGGGATGGAGCTGGTGAACAGATCCAGGCAGGGGCTGGGAGCTGAGCTGAGTGTCACTGTCCCATGAGCTGAGGAAAGCCCCTGTCACTGAGCTGAGGGGGCCTGGGCTGCACCAGCTCTGTGCCCTGAGGAGCCCCAGCACGATGCTAGAAGAGGGAGAGCAGAGCCTGCTCTGATGGGGCTCATTTACTGCCTTCTCACAGCAAAACAATTACAGCAGCTGTGCTGCACTTCTGCATTAACAGGGCTTTGTTAATTGTCATTTGAACTAGAGCAGAAATGCTTAGAAAGATTTTCCTTGATTAAAATGTTGTCAGTGATGGGGAGCTCAACAGACCTCTGAGAAAACCATTCCAGCTATAGCTTCACTTTAAAGTCCAAGGCCAGCTTCTACTATGAACACTTAATCTAATTACATCAAACACTCACTCCATTTTAGCTTTATCAGCTGGAATAGCAAAGTTTAATCACTTCAACAAGTTGGCTATAGCAATCTCTTAATTTTCTGATAACATTATTATTGAGCCAGACCCAGGGAAAGAGTCAGGCACAAGCAGCTGTTTAATTGCAGATGTTTAACTGCAAGCTCTGACACCAAAATCCAGCACCCACTACTCCCATGTCACCACTTTAAACTCCACAGGAGCTGCTCAAGTGGCCACCAGGAATGGCAGAGCACAGAGCCTGAGCCAGCCAGATGAGCAAGCACATCACCCAGATTCACTCCTGATTATTCAGAGAGTATAACCCTCAGGTATGCCTCAAAAGATATAATCTTTCCACATATAAATTATCCTGGAGCCAGTCTCCTCACACACAGTAACCTCTGGCTGGGGTATTCACAGAGAAAGGTGGAACTCAGTTAAAGTTCTCTCTTTCAAGGGAGTGCACCCTCTGAAGGGGATCCCTGCTTATGAACTAGGAGAGAAGATGGGAGAGGCAAAGAACAACATTTTGTTGCCAGTGGTCTCTCGCTGTGCACCAAGACAAGCAAAGCTTGGTGGGCCAGAGGGGAGAGAGCCCCAGGCAGGAGCAGGGTGCTCACCTGGGAGGCCTCTGCTCTGCTCTGGGGCCTCTCTGCTGACCTCACACACGCCCCACAGAGAGGTGGTGGAATCTCCCTCGCTGGGGATCTTCCAGAACTCTGCTGTGTGCTCTGGGATGACCCTGCTGAGCAGGAGGTGGGACCAGGTGAAGCTCTGTGGCTCCCTCCTCCTGACCCATCCTGGGGCTCTGTGAGCACACCTCAGCAGCACAGAGCTCAAGGCTCCATGACTGGTAAAGGGAGTGATTTCCAGTGGCTTCCATGAAGGGAGAGGAATTAAGATTTTTGACTCAGGAAGGAATTTACATGCTCAGAATCTACTTTAGCAAAGAGGCCTTTCTCTGTGAAACCCCCTGTCCATTCCTCCAACCATCTCCTGACTTCACCTGGAGTTCCTTCCAGTTCCTGAGGTGCAGACACCAAACCCAGACACACCACTGCCACCAGCAGCTGTCACACCCCCACCAAGCACAGCTGACACAGGAGCAGCCCTATTTCTGACTCCATCAATGACAGGGACACCCACTCTCAGAGCTGCCACTCATGGACTTTCCAGCACTGAAAGTGGCACACCAAGAAAAGAAACCTCCATCCCACAGATAAATGAAGAAAGAGCCACTTACCCACTTGTTCCAGGTCTCTGGGTCTGAGAGAAGCGCCAATCTGTGTTAGGCTGAGCTTGCTGCAAAGAAAAAGAAGAGTTTTAATACCTCCATTCTTGCCTTTGAAAATGAAAGGGAACTGATCCTGGATTATTTCAGTCTGGAATATCAGCATGTTCTGTCCAAGTGAAGCAAATCAATTAGAACAAAGAGAAAGCTCCCCCTCCCCCTTTCTTGAGTATTTCTGAAGCAGCATGAATACCAAAAAGCATGACAAAAACTGTTCAGAGAATAATCTTCCAAAGCAGCTCAGGAAACCAGGCTGTGAAAGAAATGAAGCATGAAATAAACTGATAAGGGCATGAATTCAGCAGGAGCAGTGGTACCACAGTAATGAGCTTGGAGGAGGAAGGGGGTGTGAGGGGGTGGCAGAGTTAATTGATACTGAGAAAGATGCTCTTAATACTCTAAGGTAAAATGGTAACAGACCTTCCCAATCTCTCCTTTTTCTGTCTTTAAAAAGGCCTGCCTGAGATCTTGCTTTCATGCATGGTATTTGAATGACTTTTCCTAGCTGTTGTGGCCTTGGAGCACTACAATATTTTTCTGTCCACAGAAAAAAGAATAAACTTCCGACAGCAAGAGGAAAAAGCCTTATTTGTTTAGGAGACACAATAACCTTCAGACACAGCAGCACACTTTGTAACCTCATTAATAAGCCCCCATATCACTCTCTGCCAGTGTTATTTTACAACCAGACAATGAACATTTTGTAAATAAGGAAGGACATGGAGCAAGCTTGTATATTCCTGTTTGAATCATGCCTTTGTAGAAAGCACTAAATAGCACAACTGTTTCTGTCAGGAAAACACACACACTTCCGAAAATCATGATCATCTTAATGAACTCCAGGGTGATGACATACTACCTGGAAAGGACAATGCTTCCCTCAGCTATTTTAGGAAGGAGCAGTTCATAGTCCATACATAGTGAAACATCAGTTTTATAGGATTATTCTGCTTGTACATGCAATTACTAAGGAAAAGTGAAGACGAGTAGAGCTGACCTAGATTTTTATTTAGTAGATGTGCTCTCACTAATTTCTCTGCAGCTTTGATGATACTCATGAAAGAAGATATTAGAATAAATTACTCCCCTAAAATAGATGCCCCACTGGTCCCCATGCTGCATGCAAATGAAGCTGTTGAAAGACTTGCCCTCCAGATTTCAGATATGCATTTTTGCACACACTGACACACAATACTGCACTAGATAAGCCCTTCCCAATATTTTGAATAGCCCTTCCATATTTTGAATTCCTGTTGTAATTACCATTTTCAAATTTAGGGCAGGCATTTGTGACACAAAATTGCTTTACTTTTTATATCCCGAAGTTATAAAAGCTCCAGCTAAACACAGTCACCTACATCTATATTTAGGCATCTGAGTACAAACAGCTCAAGTTTTCAAAGCTTGCCGCTCCTCAGCCTCTGCAAGCCCAAGGGCACATAAGGTCACCAGGATCTTTGTGAATAATGTCACTCCTGACATTTCAGTATTTTAGTGCTGAATACCGAATTCAGCTCCTCGCTCATCGTGAGCAAGCTGGAAAACAATCCCTTGCCAAGGCACAGTTAGTAATTAATAACACTTGGGGTTAAAGAAATGAGAAATTTCTACAAGGCATGTCTAAAACTGAGCAAAAGAAACACAGGCAGACTTTCCTTTCACATAACCTCCTCCGCACCACAGCTCATGTGCCATGTAGGAAAAATGGGTTAAACAGAACCAAGAAGTTAAACCCCCAGAAAACCTGTTCCTGACCACGCTAAGAATCACTTTAAATAGAAACAAGTATGAGCAGGGCCAAGGGGAAACTCTCCACTGCTACAAGCACAGAGTCTTTGATTCTATAACACTGCTCAGCCCCTTCCCCCACCTCCACCAAGCCAAGCCAAAACTTTCACCTGCCACCTCCCAGGAGATGACAGTGACACATGTTCCCTAAGGCCACTGTCTCAGGAGGAAGGACGGACAGAGAACAGCCAAGTGGCCTGGATATGCCAAACTGTTGCACTCAGCAGAGAGGACAGTAAGAAACAGCCATCTCTTACCCCATCGCAGGGACTCGCTAAGGTGCTGGTCACCTGCTCATAGGCAGCCACGGTCTCCGCAGTGCTAGAATGGCTGAAGGGCTTTACAAAGAGGAAATCGCTCTGCTCAGACATGGGCGAGAAACAAGAGGTGTAATTCTGTGCCTGCGAGGTCAAGCCCGCTCCTCCCACGTCCAGGTACTTGATGAAGCCATCTGGCTTCATCTGCCCTCGGAAATGGGAGGCGGGCTTGCGGCCAGCCCCGCGGCAGCAGCCTGCAAAGGTCCAGCTGGCACTGCCAGCTTTGAGACACCGGGCAGCCGCCAGCCCGAACATCACGCAGGACACGAGGGAGATGGACACCAAGGAGATGATGAGGTAAAGAGTTAGGTTGGTATCCTCGGAAGAAGGCTGGGGGAGGTCCAAGGACTTGGAGAAGTCCTGCACACTGTTTTCCTCCGGAGAAATGACTATTACCACGGAGGCCGAGAGGGACGGCGTGCCATTGTCCCTCACTTCGACCACCAGCCTGTGGGAATCTTCTGACTCCCTGAGAGCCTGTGCAACCCTTATCTCTCCAGAGCGGCGTTCCACTTGGAAAGGCAAAGCCTCAGCAGACTCCTGCAGCTGGTAGGACAGCCAGGCATTATGGCCACTGTCAGCATCAACTGCTACAATTTTAGTTACCAGATAGCCGGGCTCTGCCAAGGCCGGGATGGCTTGGTGGAAGGCAGAGCCCTTGGGGACAGACGGGTAGACAATGCTGGGAGCATTGTCATTCTCGTCCAGGACAAACACATGGACCACAGCAGTGCTGCTCAGAGCAGGAGACCCAGCATCCTTCACCTCCACAGGCACCTGGAACACCTTGTCCTGCTCGTAATCCAGAGCTCGCACGGTGTAGATGGTGCCATTGTCCTGATCGATTCGGAAGTAGGTTGAGATAGGAGCATCCTGCATCCCATTGTCCAGGATGGAGTAAGACAGCTTGGCATTGCTACCCTCATCAGGATCTGATGCTGACACTGAAAAGACAGAAGTTCCAGGGAGGGAGTTTTCCTGAACATGAGCTGTATCAAAAGGGCTGGAGAAATTCGGTGCGTTATCATTCACGTCAGCAATGCGGAGATAAAAGGTTTTTTGTGTGGCCCTCTGGGGGGACCCTGAATCCACAGCCCTCACTGTGATGTTGTATCCACTGGCCTTCTCCCGATCAAGGGGACCACTGGTGACCAGCGAGAAATGCTCTTTAAAAGATGACACTAGTTTAAAAGGGAGCTCTTTTGCTATCTGCAGACGGACCTGCCCGTTGTCACCCGAATCGCTGTCCTTCACACCAATGAGGGCAATCACCGTGCCTGGGGCTGCATCCTCCTGCACCGGGCTGGAGACGGAGGTCAGCACGATCTCCGGGCTGTTATCGTTGATATCAATTAATTCCACTCGCAGGTGACAGTGGCCTTCCATGGCTGGGGATCCCTTGTCCCTGGCTCGAACAGCAATCTCGTAAGCACTGGATTCCTCATAATCCAGAGGGGCTTTGGTTCTGATCTCCCCTGTCCGGGCATCTAAGGAGAACAGTTTGGTGAATTTACCAGGTGCATTATTGCTGGTTTTGAAAGAATATTCCACATCCCCGTTGGGACCTTCATCCAGGTCGGTGACATTCAGCTTGGTGACCAGAGTGCCCACTGGTACATTCTCCTCCAGAAGCACCTTGGATATGGGTGGGTCACAGACAGGAGGGTTGTCATTTGCATCCAAGACATGGATGGTAACCCTGGCAGTGCCAGATTTCACGGGATTCCCTCCATCCAGGGCTGTCAGTGTTAGATGATGAACAGGCACTTTCTCTCTATCCAGTGCTTTTTCAAGTACGATCTCGGGCATTTTAACACCATCTCCTCTCACGTTGATGCTCAGGGCAAAATGCTTGCTGGGGCTGAGCTCGTAGGTGGAGATGGAGTTGGAGCCCATGTCTGGGTCTTCTGCTACTTCCAAGGGGAGCCGAGTCCCAGGGTTGGCTACCTCAGTGATCTCCAACACCACCTCTGGCTTGGGGAACTGGGGCGCGTTGTCGTTCACGTCGAGGACGTCCACCTCAACACGGTGGAGCTGGAGGGGATTCTCCATGACGAGCTGGAGGTGCAGAGAGCACGTGGGGCTCTGCCCGCACAGTGCCTCCCGGTCCAGCCTGCTGTCCAGGAGCAGCACACCTGCCGCCAGGTCCACCTGGAAGTGCCGCTGCCCACCCTCGCTCACCAGGCGCAGGTTGCGGGCGGCCAGGCTCCGCACCTCCACCCCTAAGTCCTTGGCCAGGTCGCCCACAGAGAAGCCCGGCTCGCGATCCTCGGGCACGGAGTAGTGGAGCTGGGCGCAGCTGGGAGCCGGCAGGCAGGAGAGGACTGCGAGCAGCAGCGGGAGCTGCCATGGCAAACTCTGTCCCGCGAGCATCCCGTGCCGGGTGTGCGGACGGAGCAGCGCGGAGAGGAGCGGCGGCGGCTCCGCGCAGCCTCCTCCTCCTCCCCGCCCCCGCAGCCGGCCCCGGCAGCCGGAACCCCTGCGCCCCGGGGGGGTCCGAGCGGGTTGTGCAGGGAGGAAGCCGCCGCCGGAGCCGCCGGAGCCGGACGGGGAGGGATGGAGGAGGCGGGGGAGGGGGCGAGCGCAGCCCGGCCGGCTGAACCGCTTCTCGATACGCAAAGACACACAAAGTCGGCGAGCGGAGGGGATGGACCGAGTGACAGTTTTACGTCTCTCCACAGCCCCCTCCTCCTCCGCCTCCTCCTTTTTCTCTCCCTCCTCCTCCCCTTCTCCATCTCACCGCCTTCCCCAAAATACGCACGGCGTAGCCCTCCCCTTCCCCCGCTGCCGCCACTCCGCCCCCGCAGCGCCGGGAGGGCGCCGGGGACTCCCGGCAGCGGGGAACCCGCTCCGCCCCGCCCGGCTGCTGGCACCGGGCACCGGCGGACACCCCCCGCCCCCCCAAA